GTGGTGGTGGTGGTGGTAGCAGGCAGGAGGAGTGGGAGTTGGAGTAGGAGTAGGGGTAGGTAGGTGTAGGAGTGGAAATGGTGGGGAAGAGTAGCAGGAGTGAGAAGCAGGAGGATTAGCAGTGGGAGGAGTTTAGGCAGTAGTTGGAGTAGTACGAGTAGGAGTGGGATTGGCAGTGGGAATAGGAGGAGGAGGAGCAGCAGCAGCTGCAGCAGCAGTTCCAAATGTAGTCGTGATCATGTTCATGATGATGATGATCATCATCTTCACCGATAGCCAAAAGAAGCTAGAAACAGCAGCAATGGTAATAGTAGTGCTTCTCGTTGGCTCTGACACAAAGCCAGCTGACTTCAAGGACTATAATTTTTTTTGTCTGTGAAGTTCAACCAGCAGTACATCCTCTTTGGCCTCGTGTGGACAAAATCTGAAAACACCACTTGGCGATGTCCCAACGTGGAAAGATAATTAACACAGAGATCCTACATGGAGATCCAACAAAAAAGTCGAGACATCCGTTTCACGTCTGTGCTCCAAGAGGTTTGGGCAAACTTCTGCCGGTTGGGTCGAGAGCCTTGCCTGCACAGCTAGATCCACCCAAAAGTGGATGCAGTACGACTGGCGGAGGGAGGTTGGCTTTTTCGGACTCGGTCATTTTGCCTCTTTGGTTTTGCATCACCCAATAAACCAGTTGTTCGAGTAGGTGAATTCCCTATGAAAGGGTCGTACTGCTCGTTTGTGTCCATGCGCTGTTGTGTCTATGTAAGCTGTTTGAGGCTCTGCTGCTTGCTGTTTGACCACTGAGGAAATGGCGACTCCGGCTCTCACGGCACTGACCAAAGCCCAGGCGCGCGCATGGCCCATCAAGACTGCGGTTCAACATCCACTACGCAAAGTCTCCCACATTAAGAATCCCCCCTTGGATCTTAGCAGCAGATCTTTCATGCAGCTGCCTGATAAACGTAAGAGGTGCGCGAAGCCAATGCTCGCCGTGCTGCTGCATCTGTGAGGTAGCCTGAAGCCCTCAAGCCTTCACAAAAGACAGCCTCGAATATCATTAGGACCAACATACAGTGGTGTTACCTACAGCAAAGGGTCATTTCGCCAAGCAAGCTCTTCACGTTCACAATCAACTTGAAGAGCTTCGGGTTGATCGGCCACAAGTGTCTGCTGCAGCCAGCTGGCAACGTTGTGCGTCGCTTAGAACGAGAGCACAAAAGCTGCAGGAGGTGCCGTTGGATGGGATAGCGGCTAGCATCTGTTGCAAGCCGGGATAGTTTGCATCATGGTTTTGTAAATGGGGCTGCTCCAGTCTTGAATTTGTATGTGGTTCACTGAGGTGCACGCGGGACCTGCCAAATTCGAATTTGGAGACGACGAGTTTGTGGATTGGGTTGATGGACAGGCTAGATCCTGGTCAAAACCCTATTTGGAATCACAAGGGAAAGAACATGAAGCATGCGACATGCAGGCCATGCTGTACCGCTTGAAGATTGGCGGCGATGACAACTGCCAGTACAAAAACAGGCTGCTTCTGCTGCTGCTGCTGCTGCTGTGGTTTGTTGTATCCAACCATCTGCCATCTGCTTATGAACCCTGCGTGTTGAGGTGGTTGGACACCTGGAATCATCGTATGCATCGTGAGGCCTGGTTCTTGAATGGCATGTGCGAAATGTCATCAGTAGACGACCCGCCAAGGTGCGGAAAAGAGCGCAGAGTGCTAGGGACATGTGCATGGGTAGAAGCTCTTAGCATTTTGTGTGCACAGCATGCCTCGCAAACCAAAGATGCAAAAGACTGCCAGATCCGTCACGTGCTTCCCTTGCCCAGTGTAGATTCTAGTTTCAGTTGACTTTGGGCTCCCACAAGGCTGGCCGCATCGCTGTCCGGGAGACCTGCTCCAGGCTACCGGATCATCTCTAGAAAACATTGAAAACTGGCCTGACCTTTGGCCCGACTCAGGCCATCGTTGAAGAGCTTCTGGGAGCGCTTCATGTACCTCTTCAGCCCTCCCAACAACGAGAATGGCAACCTCCACATCTCGCAGGTGCAGCAGAGTTTTTGAAGTCAACGGAGAAGCCTTGCAAGACAAGACGTCCAGCCTTGCAAACCATGCGCGATTCGAATTGGATATCCATGACAACCTGCTTGACTCAGATTGCTCAATCCCGCTGCGTTTCGATGTCCGTGGGATCGCTCGGCACTTACACTTCGGCGCCAAGAGCACGTTACTTGAAGGATTGGCTGGTTCCAACACTAGGCTTAGAACTTGCTATGCAGATTCAAGTTTTGTTTGGGTTTATCAGTTGTTACCGCTCAGGGCTTGTTTGGAGTTCGAGCTGGACAGCATGAACACTCTCGGCAAAGTGCAGCACTTGGAATCAGTCGCAGGAGCCAAATAGACTCTCTCTCTTTTAGCAAGAACTTTCCTGGATGGGAAGATGAAGAGACAGGAGGTGCCATTGCGTTCTGAATTTCTGCATCGACGGTGCTTGATGATCGCCCTTATGGAATTCCAAGCACCATGCACGGGCCCATGACACGTGGCATATCCGCAGCTGCAAAGGTGGCGAAGCCTGCTTTTTCCTTGGCCCAGGGAGCATCAATGGATTGCATGACATGACATGACACACTTCATTCCAATACCGCGGGGTGTGCTACTTGACATGCTCTGCAAATGACTAGCTGCAAGCAGCGTCTAATGCGTGTCGTTGTCGGCGACAAAGTTTGTGCCCTTTCCCGGCGTAGCCCCAGTCGTCTGGGGCAGATTAATTTCTCTGTGAACTGTCTTTCATGATGCGCGCTGCTGCCGTCTAATCTGACCGTGCAATTAGTGAGTAAATAAGCAAGTCTGCGCATATCCGTCTCCCAGAGCTCAGAAGTCACGAGTTATCACACCTTACCGGACGAATCTTTTTCCTGCTCTTTCGTTGCCTTGCTGCCCTCTGGTCCAGCTCCATGCTGCAGAGGTGCCTTTTGACGACGAGCTTGTGGAGGGAGGTCCACTGATTTTCCATGCAGAGCCGCGAGCTGAGTTCTCTGAAGCACCTTGCCGGACATGTTTGTGGCATTGAGGCAAGGGTCTGGCAAGGGTAGATGTTTGAAGACATCATGTTTTGCCCTCTGAGCGTACCTTAACATAAGGATTTTGCATGCCAATTGAGGCCTCACGTGGACAAGGAGACAGGTTCGGGCGCTGACAGTCTCCCACAAGTTGTTGTGAATCTTTACGCGCTCTGGCGCGTGACGTGTAATTACTTGCAGTCTTGCGGACAACTCAGTAGTCACAGGCTTGGCAGCTACTTGCAGGAAGGGGTCTGCAGCTGAACAACATTGCTCTTGCAATGCTGCGCATTGCCAGGCGAGTGGGTTACTTGCGCGATTCAGCTCCGCATCAGCCCAGAGGATGCCAACTTTGTTCCTCTTGTGTTTCGATAACTGCGGTGGCTGCCACGTTTGGAAGATCATGCGGCAGGGCAAGTTCGGATTTTTTCAGTCCACTTCTCAGGACATGGGCCTGAAGCCGGAGTGCGCTGCCAACATGGAGAGCGGTGCATCAGTTGGATTCTCCACCAGCTGACATGTTAGCGCAGCACGTGTGCTAACTAAAGCAGTAGCAGCCGAACTGAAGTTCCAGCCTGCTCTGGCAGGTACGTTGTCTTCTCCGTGATGCCGGATACCTCGCCGGAGCCCCTTTTGAGAATCAGTATGACCAAGGCGTCAGAGCAATGACGGTATTGTCGCGTTGTTCTGGTGTCGTGGCACTTGAAGCAGTGCTGCCTGTCACAGCACTGGAGGTGGTAATTGCTGATCCATCGTCCGAGTGGTGTTGCATCAAGAGCACTATCCTGGCAGTGATGCCTCAACAGCTGTTGCATGAGGCGGACACCTGGGGCGCCTGTTCGACGCCGTCTCATCCGCCGCATCTCCACCGAGCGAGATGCCGAGTTGACACATGTCCAAAGGCTTGAGGTATACAAATAGGGCCCCTCAGCAAAAAATGCAGCTGCTGCCAGCTGTTGCATGACGTGCCATGGCAGAATTCATGCTGCACAGGTATCCTTCTCCTGTCCACACCATCGCCTTGACGGAGAAGTATATTGTCATGATCCAGATCCCGTACCCACTGAACTGGGCTGGGGTCTTTGACGCTAGGGTCGGCGTGTCTTCTGTCCTGTCGCATGTCATGTCTGTCTTGTAGAACTGATGCTTTTCACAGATGTAGGATTTGCCTACATGTTTACCCAAGGATGGCATGCTGAATGCGGAGGCACGATGGCTTATGGATGGCTGCGGGCTTGGGATGGCAGGGCTACGTACATCTGCCATCAGAATGCTCCCCTTGCAGACTGTTGGGGGCCATGCTTTCTGTGGTGCCCTTAGGTGTTTACGAGGGCAACCTTAACGATTACAACACCTGGCAGCCTGAGCGCTCGCGGCTCAAGATGAACGCAGCCTCCTGCAGCACCCCGCTGCTGGCCACCAGAGTCCCAGCGTGCTTTAGGTGGGACCACCATCCGCCTCATCAACCGGGTCACTGGGGAAGAAACTCAGATCTTTGAGACTGATCCGCCCTGCCTTGCACGTTTGATATCAGATTTTGGCGCTCTGTTTCATCCCAGCATCCCTCAGCTTTGGCAATGTGATCCATGTTATTCGGCATTGAAGATGCCGCGCCAAATCAGATCTGAATAAAGGGTCCAGGCACTTGTTACTGTGGCTGTGCACAACAAATGGAGCAGCTCAAGCTAGCCAGACGAAAGGTAGGTGCTGTAGTGCCGAAGGGCACCCAGAAAGGGGGCCACTTCAGCCCAAGATGGCCCGACATCCGTATGCGCGGCCTCACGAGCAAGGAGGACTGTTTCGTGTGTTTCAGCCCATGGGGTTCCTCCCCAACCTTTGCTCTAGATGAAGGTATCGAAGCCCCTTCAACAGTCAGAGTGATTGGATCTGCATGGCGATACCTCTGGCTGTCATGATTGATAAGATTCCACAAGGAGTATTCCCTCACACTACATCAAAGCAAAAGGAGGTTTGCAGGGATTAGAGGTCGATTTTCGGATCTTTATGCATACGCATATACACAAACATTTTTCATACGTGACATATAGGTATACACATATTTACTTGTTCATTCCATCAATCTATATCTGCCTATCTACATCACCGTTAATTTGGCTTGATGCCGACGTTACTGTGCGTGGGAGGGAAACTGCGCAGAGACGAGAACTGACAGTTTGCTTTAATGCTTGCCTCAGATCGACCGATGGCGTCGATGGCCACGCATTGCGACGGCGGAACTAGCACAAGCTCGGCCGGAGGTGACAGCCAATCATACTCGTACTTATTAGTACCAGGAGTAGAAACAGCAGTCGAAAGAATACTAGTGGCGAAAGAAAAACAGAGAAGCAGCAGTGGTGTGGTGGTGATGTCCGTGCTGATTGAGTAAAGAGTAGTAGTGGTGGTGATGGCGGTACTTGTACTGCAAGTGGCGCTAGCGATAGCTAAGAACAATCACTAGCACTGCTGACGCCACTATTGCCGCCGCCGCTGCACACCCACAATTTGTGTTGGGCACCTGGGTCGACAGATCCTAAAGCCGCCCGCGAGGAAGCAAATAAGCCGACTTCTGCTGCTGTCCCTGCTAGTGGCGTCACACTTGCTCCGCCTGGGCTCGCCGGGTAGTTTTGTTTGCCCGCCTAGGACCCCTAATCCCTGCCCCTCTAAACGTAGGTTGGTTGCGTTCAAGTGGATGGAAGTGTGCAATTGTTTGGCCACAAAACCTATTGCTACTCCTTGCTCGTACAGAACAAGCGCCTCCAAGAAGCTTCCTGGCACCATGTTTGCAAACTGTGCCAAGTTGCTTGGCTTGCAAACAAGCTCCTTCGCCGAGTTTAGGGGTAAGAATTGGGTTGCTGCCGCCCGCAAACCTTTGGAAGATACGCCTTGCATTTCGGCATCTATCCATGCCGAGACCCCCAGGGTCACACGAAAATACCGGTGCTCCAAGTGTGTCGCGTTGCTACCCTGCAAGAGTACCGGCGCGCGCCGTGCAAGGCTCGCCCATCAGGAGTTTCAGTCCTCCAGTGGCTTGTCAAGACTCGTGGCCCGGAGGCTGCCGATGCAAAGTACCTCCGACGCAAGCCCTCAAAGCCTCCTGACTAGGCTACTGTGTCCGCTTTGTGCTCTCCGATCTTTTTTGGGAGGTGGAAACGCTGCCGAAAAACAGTTCGACCGGGAGGCCGCTGCCTGCCTTTCTGTTAGCGTAACTTGCCTCGCCAAGAGTCGTCTTTATGAAGTGCTGCACGCAGCAGATGCGGCCAAAGCATCCGTTATCGCCCTGCAAGGGACGCGCCGTGCCAAGCGCTTGCTGTGGGCTTCCAAACTCGCCAGGCAATTCGGGTGGCTCTCTGACTTCAGTGCCCGTCCTCTTCTGCGGCGGGCCCACCGTGTCCGCCAAGGCGGATGCGCCCTCCTGTGGCGCAGCGTCGATTTGCCGCCTGCCCAGCAGCATCGGGTGTTCGGCTGTGTATTTTCTAGGATTTCACTATTTAGCGAACATCCTGGGATCTGAGTGGACAGCTCGCAGACGAAATTTCGACGAAATTTCGTCGAAACTTCGGCGGACGCCGGTCGAAGTTTGCCGGGCCATCACGAAGTTTATTTGAAGTCTGCACTCCTTTTTTGGCCACCAATAAGTCATGAAAATCCTAGGAAACAGCAAAAGCTTATTCGAAGTTTGCAGGCCTAACCAGTCGAAGCTTTGACTGCGGGCCCTGCAGAAAATTGTGCAAATCCTAGGAAATGGCTGAAATTTGTTCACCGCCAATTTCACTGTTCCGTAGAATTTTCACTGTGACTATTTTCTAGGATTTTCACTATTTGCGGAACACTTAATTCCTAGAATTCTAGATAATCTAGAAAATAGTCAAAGCAAAATTTCGATTAATCGTTAAAGTATTTAGGCCCAAAAAATTGACCATTGGCTAAAATTTTCACTATTTCCTTGAATTTTAGAATAGTCAGAATTCTGAGTATTGGGATCACGGCCTGTCCCACGCGTGCTATGGGTTTCTGCAACGTGGATTTTCAGCAAGCCCGTGTGTTTATCAAGCCATTGCTTAGCATTTTGCGCCAGGCTTTCTCTGGTCGGCCCGCTCCGTCTGTTGCAGGCCGTTGCCAAATGAACCCCGCCTCTCTCAGGCCGAGTTTTGCCAAAAACTTTGTTTGTACTCCCTTAAAGCTGCTTGGTGCTTGGACTTAAAACTCGCCTCTGCAAGCTCTCCCTGTGTCTGTGCAATGCTTCTGGGCCTTGCCAGCAACACCGCCTCTGCTGCTTCTGGGCCTTGCCAACGGCAAGTTCTCATAGAATGCTTTTGCTGTTCGCTCCGACGCCGCCGGCTCCTTTGCCAAATTACTTGGTTGGCAAACCAGTGCCTCTGTCGAAGTTTGTGTTAACGACCCCTGCTCGAGGGGCGACCTTTATACAAGAGTGCGTGGTTGGACCCTTCGTCAACTCCATGTTCAGCACTGGCTAGCTTGCCAGCGGATGCAGCCTCCCTCGCAGTCTGCGCGTGAGGCCGCGTGAGGTGCATCGCCGTGTTGCTTGTTCCGGCATGCTTAGCCGGAAAGCCCGCCAAGCCAATGTTGCTGCTGCTGCACTTGTGTCTTGCGGCCGCTTTGTTACCGGTCTTAGGGGTAAAAAAAGTGGGTTGCTGCACCACCACCACCACCACCACCACCACCACCACCACCACCACCACCACCACCACCACTGCTGGACATAAGTTTTATTCAAGCAAGATGTTGCGGTGTAGTGTACAGCATAGGGTGACGCTCATGATATCTGTGGCGCAAGGCCGTGACGTCAATCCTGGACAAAATGCAAAGCGCTGGTTTGGAGGTAGGGGCTTAAAAGCTCACAGAGAAGCATGCATGCTACGGCGTGCCATGAGGCAACAGCCCAACACCTTTGGACTAGAGCTTGTTGACGAGAGATTCTAGCCACGTTTTGGGGTGCGCGACACGCCAAATGCACGCTACTAAAGGAGGCTGGTGTGTGCAATTGAGGCTGATGTAGCCATTTCGTATTTTTTGTTGCTAGATGACCGATCCAGTGGCCTGCACTAGACTACAGCTCTTGATGGGTCATGTTTGAACGGGCTAAGCACTGTGGCTGCCGATCGCAGCTTGTGATTGTAAACGCCGTCCCCTCGCAAGGTGAACGCATTTCACTGCAGCGCAGCCATCGCAGCACTTGCAAAAGGCATGACTTGCCTGCCTTGCTTCCTTGGTACAGCGGTCATTTGAAGTTGCTGTTGTTGATCTTGTGACTGTTATTTCGGTCCTTCTGCCCTGATTACGGAGTAACTACGCCCAGGTTCCCAACAAGCTTGCGTCAAGACTAGGATCGGCAATCCCAATGGTTCGAAGTGACAAAGTGCCAGAAACCATGAACCCTCTTCCAGGCTGGTGGATTGTTGTTCGGATTGTCACTGTTATTACCCGCCCCCAACTCTAAACCTCGATGTTCCAATTTTGCCTTTGGCCAGGTCGTCTCTGGCAGCAAGCTTTGGCGGTGTTCAGAGATGGCCCCTTTCAGCTGATCTCTGCAAACGCCGCCCTTGGAGCCTGCGAGAAGGCGTGCATGATTGGTTTTTGTGAGCGGACCAGGCAAAGCTCGGTTTCCCAAGGCTCATTTTGCTGGGCAGAGTAGGGTGTGCCGCAAGGGGCTGCATGAATCTTGTGGACGGAAGCCCGAGAACCAACATGTCTTGATCCCACCCAAGCAAGAGCCCAATTCATGTGGAAGGCCAGCCTTTGGAGGACTTGTTTGGTGCTTCTTGACGAGCTTCTGGTCCCTGGCCACTTCGACGTGGATACCTCGGACTGAAAGATCAATCAGATTGGACATTGGAACAGAGGCTAAGCAGAGGCTGTACTTTGGTGACCAATAACGCCACAATCTCAGGTCATCAGCTGCAACACTTGCATCAGTGCTTTCGCGAAGAGTTTCGAATGGAGCCGCGCGGCCTGATCGGTCTGTCACGTAATTACTGCAGTTTGTCCTTGGAGATCCTTGGATCAGGCAGGTAGCAGTCAGTACGTATCCCCAGAGAAGCATGCACTCTGCTGCTGGCATCTGAGGTTGGGCTCTGTGTTTGCTAGATCGCATGCAAAGCTTGAAGCAGCCTCCTGATCGTGTGAGCTTCAATTCCGCGATGCTTGGGTCAGCATAAAATGGTAAGAAACTGCAAAATTATTCATGACGACAAGTTAACTACCTGCTATGTCCTCGCTTGTGACGACTCCGGACTTCCGCGCAACTTGGGGTTGCCGAACCACATGGTAGCTAGTCCACATTTGTGATGGAGCTGAGCAGTTTTTGTAGCCTGGCAAAGGATGTTGGCTTTAGCGAGAGCCAAGCGCTGGGAAACCTCGTTGCACTTCTTCCAGGACGGAGAACATGCGCGCTGTGCGCTGACATGATCACTGAGCTTCGCCAAGCTGCGCCGCAGTCTCCCTCAGCACAGGAGCTGGAAGGTCGAAGGCTTGCAGCGGACGAGTTCACAGTCACGTCAGCCATTCACGCTTGTGAGAAGGCAGGTGCCTGGCAGTGGCTTTGTTGGAGCAGAGATTTGTATGGCAAAACCTCAAAAGGCGCATGAACCGCTGCTACTGCTGCATACCCAATCCTCAACTAAGGCTGGCCTTGGAGATTCTGCTCCTCAGCTGTTGGTCATACATCCCAGCATGACATTGGTACCTGAAGAACCAACTTTGACATGCAATCATGACAGCCGTGAACTCCTGCCCCAGCATTGCCAGCATTCGAATGTTTACAAGAACCGAGCCATGAGGTGTCCCTTTGGTACCCCAAAAACTGACCAGAAGTTGGCAATCTACATACCAAGGCGAGACACGTCTACGCCAACTCAGCTGAACTGGAATGCAGCCATCAGCGCCTGTGAAAAAGGCAGGAATGTGGCGACATCTCAAAGTGTCAGCGCCTGTTTCAAGTCCAGTATGTAGGTTCTTGGGTTGTAGTCTGAAGAGATTTTAGCCTCGGCTTTCTTTCTGCAAGCGATGCAGCGACGCGAGACCTACTGACCCCTAATACTTGTTTGTCTGCTTGCGCTGGAAGGGCAGCAGTGGCAGCGTGCGATCGACCTCCTCCTTCGCTTTCCCAAAGGCCAGGGTTGTCAGTGAATTTGGCATCTGACATTTGCAGCAGATTTGTGTGCAAGCAACATGATTGGCGGGATGAACTCATCGCAGATGCGACATCCTCAATGTCGCCGTGCTTCCTTTTCTCATGAGGCCTTCAACGTGATGTCATCTCCTACAATGCAGCTATAAGTGCAGGTCTCAACTTTTTCCTCCCAAACTGTTCCATCCTTCGTTGGCAGCGAGCTTGCGCCTGCTACTGTAAGGTGCATGTGCGAGGGCAGGACAGTGGCCCGCAGCCCTGGACATCCTTCAGCTGATGTGCAAGGAACATTTTATGTCAGAGGTGAGTTCTGTGTTGATGTCACACTACTTCTTCCTTCAACAGTCTGTGTCTGAGGGCATGTGACATATGAGATCGCATGGCTTCCGCTAGCCGCTAGCACTAGGACGGCTGCGAGCGTGACGTGGTGAGCTTTAGCGCCGCAATCAGTGCTTGTGAAAACTACGGACTGTGGAGGCAGGCCTTGCTCCTCTTCAGCTGGATGCGGCCTGGCAGCATGCTTCCGCATTTCTGAGATTTGACAACAGCAGATACACCTTCACACGCCCACATTACCAGGAGAGTGCCGAGTGCAGCATGAAAGCCATTCTCAAGCCTCTCAGCTCAGGCAGCAGATCAGAATTAACCCCAGCGAAGTCACATGTGGTGCTGCCATCACTGCGTGTCGGAAAGACGGAGAGTGGCAGATGCTCAGACGCAGCAGGGGCATGGCCCAGTTCACATGCAAAAGGCCATTTTGGGCTAAAATGAACTGGCTAGGATGGCGCTTTGCTTCCTCTTCAGCATGTCCCAGCTGGCCTTGAGTCCTAACCGGGTGAGCTACAATGCAGCTATGGCCGTGTGCGAGTCTGCCGGGGCGCCTCAGCGATAGCACTGATCCTCCTGGCCTAGAAGGCCCGATCTTGTTGGCCAAGGAATGGCAGCAGTCTATGTGGCTGCTGGACCTCCTCAGTGCACCTTCGATGAAGCAGATCGGCACAGCTGACATCTAGGAAGCTGATATGAACACCTGTGTATGTTCGACGCGCACGGATTTCTGAAGGTAGAAGCAGCATCCGAGCAGAGCTTTGGGGCAGCGATCTCCGCCTGCGCTGCGGGTGCTGCGCCAAAAGCGCATGAAGCTCTTTCGTCTTCTTGTTTTTCCTTTGCAAATGTTAGGGAGGTTTCAGGTGTACGTGTTAAATTTCGGTGCTTTATACGAGAGCCCGTTATCCAAAAAGCATGACAACCACGTTTGTAACCCCGTACATGATCTGCTTGAGGCAGTGAGTGGCAGCGGGCACTTGTCCTCTTCGAGCCCTTGCAAGATCTCCGTTTCAACGTGAATCGAATTGTCTGGAGCGCGGTGGTTACGGCCTGTGAGCCATGGCAGCACATGGCCTAATGGCTAGTTCAATGAAGCAAGTTGCGCACTGGATGCGAGCCGTGGTGCATCAGTAGGACAGACCACCTCAAGATTCTGATCGTTAGCCTCAGAAAGCATCTGAACTTGATGCCTTGCTTCAAGGAGAAGGGTGCAAAGTGGGAGTTCCTCAGCGTTAATGGTGCACACATGTGCAACTTGCTCATAAGCAGTGTGCATATTGCGCAGAGCTATCTGCATCGTACTCACTGCAAAAACAAGCCGCGAGAGGCTTCAAGCCATATGCTACAATCGCTGCCTGCAGAGAAGCAAACTACACTTTCCTGAGAGGAAGCATCTCGTGGTATGCTGGTGGGCGCTTGAACTTAACAATTAACAACCGCAAGCAAGCTGAGTCATCATCTCACGCCAAGCACAAGCGAAACCGTTCTGTATCAGAGCATGCATGACCCTGCTGTTGTAGAATGCTTGCGGCCCCTGCTGGCGACCAGGAAGAGCAATGGGCCTCTGGGTCCGCCCTGGGACGCTAAAGCAAGACATGTTTGCATCTGAGGTTAGCGGCACACTTTCTCGACAGGATGGTGCAGCAAGACATCCCGCCCGATGTAATCATTTGCAATGCTGTTCTGAGCTCCTGTGAGAAAGCATCCCGCTGGACCTTGTCGTTGTGGCTCGGTGCTTTCAGCTTTGACTTTCTTGCTTAATTTGTCAAGCAGTCCGCCTGCCGCATATTGTCTTGCATCTGCTTTTGGAAACTTTTTTCTTCAAACAAGGCACATGCTTGAAGTCATGCGTGACTTCGAGCTCACGCCCAATGACATCAGCTACAATGCAGCTCTGCACGCCTGCTATCAAGGGCAGCGCACGGGCAAGTAGCCCAAGGTCGTATGGTTTTAGCGACTGCGAGTCTCTCACGGCTGGGCAAGGCCAACATCGAGCTCCAAGCGAGTCGAGTCTCTAAGCTTGAAGGGGAAGTTCGCCTCACAACGAACAGCAGGCTCGAGCGTAATCCCGAGCTGGAAGAAGTTCCTCCCTAGGAGGCCTTAGTGCAAGGAGTGTGTGCCGAATGGCCCTCTAAACCGCTTCGCAGACCGTTTGGAGTGAAAACAGCAGCCCTAGATGCGGTTTCGCCGAAAATGCTTGATAGCTAACATGAGTTTCACGCCTGAATTCGCGGCAGGTTCTTCTTCTTCCACATCATCAATTCCTTTGAGGCGGGGCAAGACGTCGTGCTGAACCACGTCCTTCCAATAACTGCCCAAACGACAGCAAGCACTAGTCCCTTCAATCAGGCGTCCATTCAGTCTATTGCAGGCTCCTTCCTGCAACTTGCATGTGTGTGGAACAGGAAAAGGGCGGGCCTTCTGGTGAGGACGCGCCGGGCCATAGAGTTCCTGACTCCCTGAACATTCGATGCTGCGCTGGTGTGGGACCGAGATACGTCAGAACCATCGTGACTGCATGCCGCAGGAGGATATGGTCTATCTCGACGTGGTCTGCTACAATGAGCCGCTGGGTGCTTGGGGGTACTAAGCGCGTGGACATTTGGGCTTCGCCCACTAGTCCGGGCTTGCGGACAGCTTGTTGGATTACTCTGGGATGTGCTTGCTTTTCCTGCTTCGTCCCCCCACAAACATTGTCCGAAGTTTCCGAGCAGACTGACCGAGGCCTGTCGGCTTCCCTCTGCGTCAGGACAGGGCTTCTAATAGTAAGACGTTCGGGGCGGGAAGAGGTATTCAGCCTGTCCGCTGGCATGTTGTCTGTACATGCCGGATCACAGTTTTGGAGCCTGAGACTCAAACAGCCTCTTGTGGCATGAGCTGATCCAGGCACGATCTGGCGATGTCGAGGACTGGCGTGGTGGTGGCGGAGAGGCGGTCACAAGAACAAGGGTAATGAGTTTTCCAGGAGATTCAGAGCATGTGTATGCACCTGCAGTACAAGTTCGACAGCTTTTCACGAGTTCATATCCTGCTGGAGACACTTGAATCAGACTCCACATACTCATCTTGCTTTGGGATAGGGGTGCCGCATCCACCGAGTTGTCTAAGGTTCTAACTCCGGGATGTTGGCATGGGCCCTTACTCCTGCAGCCCCTATCAGCCTAGTACATATCCCATAGACACTCCTTGGGGCCCCTAGAAAAAGCTAATGAGCTCGTGTTTAGGGGCATACTTCCCGCTTTAGAAATTGTTGAGAACGGAAACTTTTCAAGTCTTGAGTTTACCCGGATTCATCGAAGCCTCCCAAGACTCGCTGTTTGCAAAGTTCGCCCTACAGAGATGTGTGAGTACGTCAGTGCTCCAGGTACTTGATCGTGCACAGCAAATGTTTTGCCAGGTCCGGAGATTCGCGATGAACGTCAGGCCCGCCTTTGTGAGTATATTGTAGTCCGCAAGCAGCTTATTGAGGCCCCACTTTGCCAGAGACTTTTGAAAGATCATTTCACGGATAGCAGTGCTCACTGCTGCGGCGGCTCATGTATGCTGCTGCTGTTGCTGCAGCATAGACCTACAAGGACGGGAGAGTGCACCTGCACCGGGTGGCCAGACAACTGCTTCGATGAGCCGAAGATCAACCCGAAGGTAGCGAAATTTTGTAAAACGGCGATCACATGCTCATTGTGTGTTTCCATGTTAGGTTGCTGCAGACACATGCCCTGGCCTGCCGTCCTGGCTTTCGGCCTGTGAATGACAGGTGGACGGTGTTCGGCACCGATACAGCTGGGGGGTCATCGATGACAACGGCATGCCAGCCCCCCAGATGGCATTCTACTTTCGACGCCGGGTTGCGAACCACGAATTGTGGCTTTGTAGCAGGATTCGCTTGCAACAAATTCTTTTGCGATAGCAATTCCTTGTTGCGGGGCACACGGAATACATGTACGAAGCATTCGCAATAAGGGTATGTCACAGCAGGCTGTGACAAAGGGGTCTGTAATGGGTGCATGTGACAAACCATTTCATCCACAGCCAACCTTGAGATGTGACTGCTAGTGCTGCGTTTGCCTCTTTTGCTTTGCCTCGGGCAGACTTCTTTTGGTGCCTGCCCTTTCGACCTGGCCTGTGGCAGCATGTGGCGGCCTGTGTAACTCAGGCTCCGACTGACCAAGCAGGACCACGACACTCACCAGGTTTGGAAGTGATTGCCTCTGGCATCCAGAAAGGATCTTTCAATAAGCAAGCTCTGCACACGGCTGTTTTGTAGCACCCAGGTGGGAAGGTCAGGATGTGTCCCGTGAGCTGCCTTGGCAGCCAGTCTTTGTGCCGGATTCTCGGAAGTCCACTGAAAACTAGACAGCTTTCCGCCCTCTTTTGGAATGCCAAGGCCTGAGCCGTACAGCAATGAGGAGGATGCAGGAGGGGGCTCTGAACGTATGTGCGTGGCTGTCCTGGATTGGTGGTCAATGTGCCCGATCCATGATCAGTCGAGGGATGTGCGAAGACTTTATGCGAGGAGCCATCATGAGCTTCGTACGGGATCAGCTCATGCCCAAGTGCCGGTTCAAGCAAAGCTTGTCTTGCAACATGCTAGGCTTGTTTTGCAAAGCATGTCCAAAGTGCAGAACTAATTACCATGAACTATGTCGTTGTCAGCGTACTGGACACTTGTTGAACTGCTGTGGGTGTCAACTAGGGCAAATCCTTTGCTGAAGGCCTACTGGTGATTCCTTCTGCGTAATCCTTGATGCCAAGACGATGGAGGAGCAGGCGGCCATGTCCAAATGCTTGTTCAGTCCTGGAAATCAACATGAGTACATTCGCGTAGTCATTTGGAAAATGCTGAGCCCAACAGAAGGGCAGAAGAACAGCCCGACACTGCAAGCTTGCCTGGCAGGCTCGTGTTCACTTCCCTTCTGGGCACCACGTGCCACTGCGCCTCGAATGCATCTGCCAAACTTTATATGCTTCAGTGATTGTGTGAAGCCGGTGCTCGGCGTTCAGGCATGGCCACGGGACTTTCATCCCCGGCAGCGTCTGAGAGGCCGCACGCCAAGCCAGCAGCACTTAAAGGGTCAACAATTAAGCGAAGTATCGTATGCGCAGAAACGGAAGACCCTGCTGCTGATGCGGCCACGGCAGGCCCTCTGCTTGCTGCCCTGAGCAAATGCCCCAGGGTCACCACCCAAACAAGCTTCGTGCGACGAGCTATGGCCGCTTTGCTTGCTCTAGCATTTATTCTGACAGCAAGCCACGCAAATAGTTTGATCCTGCAGAAAAGGAGACAAGGGCTCATGGTTCCCTTTGCCATGCAGTTACGCTGGCTGGCCCAGTCCAAGATTGAGATAAACCCTGACTGACCTGCTAGAGCGGCACGCATTATCGATTTTGCATGTGGAAATTGTATCCAGAAACGGGGTGCTGAGCAGGGATCGCAAAACACAGCTTCCATTTTCATCCAAATTCCTAGACACTGCAAAGCACTTCTGCAGCTGCAACTTAAAGATCCCTGCCCGCAGCCCATCGTTTTTGTCCGACAAAGTGCTTAATTTTGTCCGGGTATCTTTGCCGAACTGCTCAGCTGTCTTCGTGACATGAAGATACACGGGCGCATAATCCTTCAAACAAGGCGTTCAGACATTTTGGGCAAGCAGCTGCAGCAGAGGCTGAGACTTCCCGACTGACATGCGTGGCTTTTTGAACACGTCGGTCCGAGTAGGAATCCAGACGCTTGGGGACCCACGCGCCCCTACCCGTAGACAATGTGGCAACATCAATGATGTAGAGCTGTGCAGGAGCACTGCAGAGATCACTGATAGCTACAATGCTTGGAGATAGCCATGGTATTGAAGAACAAAGCCAGATGCCACGCCATTTCAGCAGTCCTGAGTCCACATCAAGTGGACTGGCCTCGTCGGCCACAGCTGTAGGAAAGGAAGTTCGGTCCAGCTTTTGTAGCACAGCCTTTGATCAAGGTTCTGATTTTGATAGCAATGACCGCGAAGATGGCAATGCTAGCAACTAGCCGCAGCAATGATGATTGTAGCTGAAGCCTACCGTTGTTCTCATCCTTTCCTGCAGAATCCCTCTGACCGGCCGCGGCTGATGCTCGGCGCCAGCCCCACACATGCCAGTACTCATAAGGCAGCCCAAGTCCAAGTCTACCTTGCCCTGACCCCTCAGAGCCTAAGCATACCCGAGCTTATCCTAAGAGCCCACCGGAGCTTCGTCGCTTCGTGGCCGCGGCCGGCAGCATGGAGCTTTTCGACACGGCCGCAAGCTCAGACACGTGTTTTCATCCAATCTGGCAGCCAAAACATGTCGCGAACTTTAGCCTAGCAGCAGACTGAATCATGCTGAGAGCCAGATATTATGTATATATATATATATAATCTTGGCAACGCAGCGGGTTTGGAGAGTTTTCGGCTTCCACGGCACCGGTTCTTCAAGTTCTGAGGCCCATCGCAAGGGGCCACTTGCGCCCCCTCGCAGTTGCTGTGTGGAGCAGGCGGCAGGGCCGACCCGCTGCTACCTGATGCCAGAAAGTCAGATATTGTGCTATGCCCAAGAAGTTGGGACTCGGGACATGCGGGGAACCTGCTCTGTATAGCTCTCCCACAGCAAGCTGAGGACTCAAGGACGCATCTGTGTTTCGAAGCACCACTGCTTCCCCGCTTCCAAGCGGCCGCTTAATGGGGACAAGTCGCACGTCCCCTCCAAGACACCCAGGAAACTGCAAAGGGAAAATGTAGAATATGTTGACCTGCTCCCAAGTGCGGCATTTTAAGGTTCGATGTTTGAGATCTGCATACACACTGAGCTAGGCCTTGTGAGTGCTGACTTTTTGAAGCCGCTGTGAGACACCACAGCACTAGACAGCAATTCGCTCGGTCCCTGCATTGCTGGGACTCCGCTTCGCGTCCAAAAATGCGTCAAGGTAGGCCGTATGCTGTTTACCAGCTTGTCGGGACAGCAGACTAGGTTTGCAAGATGGATGCACTGACGCGCAAATGCTGCTGTTTAAGAGACTGCTCACCTCCCGCATCTGTGATTT